GAATATTAACTCAACGGGGCTGGATACTTTTACAGTTAAAAAAAAGTTTTTCACCTAACTGATACTATAAGCTTTGTTTGAATGCTGCACCAAACTTATGAGAATTAGTAAAGATTGATGAATATGGGTCTGAATCAGAGTTTGGAAAATTTCATTTCCTTTTATAGACAAAGACTAATTGCATATGTGGATCTGGAGAAGTCTTAAAAGCTAAAGAGTTGTTGGTTTGAATCTTGGCTGTGCTAACCCTATTTTTATGAGGTTAATAAGGCTGATGTTGTTGATGGTGTTTTTACAGTTATTACAATTTAGCTTACAAAATTTATGGATCTTAATTATTACAAGCCTTATTAATGAAAATTACAATACTAGTAATCTAAAACCAAAGCTCTCATGTGTTGTTACTTTCGCTTTTGTTTCGATCCCACCTCAGGATTTTATTCTTATTACAATATTTACACAAAAAGTTGTTTTGACATTTAATCCCGAATTTTTTTTTCTGATATAATCAAACAAAGTCGAAATCTTTTTCAGTCTCACACATCCACACACACCCATTCATTCTGCTAGAACAATTACAGGTAGCTTCCCTCTGTGTTAAAAGAGCATGTGAGCTGTTCTTGTTCTATAATTAAAGCTCTTATTGTGTGAGCCCCTCTGCAGAGCCCAAAACTGCCATATCTGCCACAGCCACTTTGTTCAATGGATGTCAGATCTCACTTTGTGGTCTGGGTTGAGAGAGACCATTATATTTAAACACTGGGACTATTCAAACAACAGGGACCCCCACTCCCTCTGTTCTATTTTCCTCTCTCTGTCAGATTCTGACGCTTGCCTTCTTGGCTTTGCCTTTCTCTGAGCAGCGACACCTGCTTCTTTTCTTCTTACTTTATTTACTTTTTTTTTTTTTAACTGCTAGTCTTTTTATATCTCCCCCCCACCTATCATTATGGCTGACATGCTTCCACACTCCATTTTCCCTGCTGGCTTTGGGCATCCTCACTGTGGAAAACTCTGTGTGTTTCGTTTGGGTGTGGAAAATGTGTGCTAATATTGCCTGCTTATACCCACTGGGTAAGATAATGGTAGCCATCACTCACTGATGCATCACAAAGACTGACATTTTGCTCTCCAAGAGTTGACAAACAGCATACAGCTCCCACTGTTCTGTCTCTGCATTGTTTGTCTCTTATACCCAGAATTTTTTCTTTCACTCTCTCTCCCCTCTTCGTCTTCTCCTTTGGTCATTTATCTTCTTCCTTTTCTGTTTTCATCAGCAGTTAAACCTTTTCAAGTTGGTATCATACAACAAAGCACAGGCCTTGACCCCGGAAAGATGCTGCTGGGGAGAAACAAAACAAAAGGAAACCGCACTTGGTTCTAAAAGCTTTACAACTGATCATTTTACTAAAGCATAAATTATTCAGAAAAAGGAGGACACATTGAGAGTCTGCATTTGGCTTTTGTTACATGTCTTTTGCCCAACAGGGAGTTCTTACTGCAGTGATGGAATTATAGACAGGAAAAATGGCAGATATATGATCAATATTCCTGCTTTTATCTCCTGTGACATGTCTAGAGATGTTTCCTTGGAAGGTAAACCTAAATGTGATCTTTAATTTATTGAATGTGAAAATAAAACACTTGAAGCCTTGAAAACAAAATACTATAAAGAAGAATGATAGATTATTAAAGAAAAAGGAAGAGAAATAACAACTTATTCACACTTGATCTCATTTCATGTTCCATCCAAATTATTAAACAAAATACCTGCTTGTTATCAAACTAGAAGCGCCCTTTATTGGGTAGACTCTGTTCAGTCAAGGTAGCTGATATCTGGAGGTGGGGTTAGGGCTGTCCTACATAGGCCCCTGGTATTTCCAGGACAAGGTACAGACTGAGCCTGCTCATCAGGATGAGCAGACCCCTGCAGCAGGCACCTTTTAACTTCAGGACAACGACACACAAAAACAAGATTATTCATTAAACCCATGCCATAAAACAAAGTAGTTAAATTTATTCTGTGAACTGAACTGTATTCTTTAAAGCCAACCTGCTGATTTTAGTGTTATAGGTAAAATAACAAAATCAAATGCGCGTCATCTCCTTACAGTCAGCCTCCATAATCATGAAATTTCAGACATTCATAAAAATACTAGCTTCGCTACCGTGCCACCCGTTTTCCACTGCTTGGAAGTTTGATGAACCTCAACCTCTGTCATTGTTTCCTGCTTCTGTAAGCCCTGATTAGACTATTGTTTGTTGTATCCACTTCCCATAAGCAACTCTGTCAAATAAATTCACCAAAGGCTGCCTTCTTCTCCCTGACTCTCTGCAAATGTAAATTCAGGAAGTGCCCGTAACACTTCCTGAATGTTACGGGCACCGCTATTGTTGATTTGCTTGTTTACCTCTAGAGAGCAGTAGTACCATAGATCGTCACTAGGAGGCGAGGAACCATGCTAGCGTGGTGTGTAAATGGTTGTAAGGAACCAAGCTCGGCACGGTTAACTGATCCAAGCTCGGTCAGAACCCGGCACAGATCGTTTTTTCAGGAGGTAGTTTAAATGGGGCAACTGCTATTTGAGACCCGGGCCTAAACTGTACATCGCCGAGCCCTACTGTTAAACTAGTGCTAGTGCCATTTACCCTCAACAAATATCTCGGTTATTGTATTCGGACCACTCTCGGAATGGTTTCAAAGGTAGTGTAAATGGGGCATTAGATGAGAAACAGCAGAGAGGGCTTAATACTAGAGGTCAAACTAACAAATATTAAGTATTATATAACTATTTGGGGAAACAGTGGCATTGAATGGTATCAAACTAGCCACCGTCCTTTTGCAGGTCAAACCTTCCCTGCAACCGAAGAGTTTCTGGTTTGAACCCCAGCTCTCGCTTTCTCTTTTGTTGTGTCCTTGGGCAAAACATTTCACCTGCACTGCATACTGATGGAGGTCGGAGCGCCTGGTGGCACCTTGACAGACTTATTTTTGTCAGTGAGCCGCAGGGCAGCCATGTGTAAAATGTAGTTGGGCACCAACGGTGTCGGAATGTTTGACTGAGTGTACAGCATTTATAAGCCCTTTGACATGAAAAGACGAAATATATAAACCATGGTACAAACGATTTATCATTTACTTAAGACATATAAAGTTATCTTAATACGCTTAATATTTATTATGATAAGCAGCATCCCCTTTTCTGACTGGATAAATTTTAATATTTTATTAAAACATTAACTATAAAATGTTAAAAATCTAAAATTATGTATCTCTTCAAATATGGCTGCCAGTAACTGCTGATTAATATCCTATCACTGCTTGTTTGATATTTCTATTTGAAAAGGAAAGTTTTGCTTTGACATATTTAAGCTTTCTCTACCTGATTCTTTCCCGAGAAGAGATTACTTGGATATATGTGTGTGTGTGTGTGTGGGTGTGTGTGGGTGTGTGTGTGCGAATATATATGTTTGTGCTTGAGAATAAAATGGTGCCCCATCATCAATCATTATTTACTGTTTAGAAAGCAGAGTTGATTTTACTAACCACAACCAAGAAAATTAATTTAATAGAACCTGACTGACTGGTTTTTAAAACATAACACACAATGCACAAACAGTAGAACAGATATCTCTCGAGGTGTGTTCTAATGAGATGACTGTTCTATGATGACATCATAGTAGAATGTTTGTACCACTGTGATGTCATAGAAGCTTTTTATAAGAGACATCAAAGTAGAACAGCTGTTCAGTTCCCATTTACTAGCAGAAGGAGCAGTCTTCATTTCGTTTCATTGGTCATCTCGTCACTAAACTTGTCAAATAACAGGAAAACTGCTTTAGCACGGAAAAGGCTGTTTTTTTTCTTTAATGGTGTAGTCTCGCTGTTTGTTTTAGAGCTTGAGTTTGAGTTTCTTGCATAGTAAACTTGTCAAGTAACAGGTAAGAAGACTACTTTGGCAATAAAAAAGCAGTTATTCCAGGTTTAGTGATATAAACTACTGTGTATTTTACAGTTTAGAGCAGGTAACATTTGTGTAAAAAACCACATTTGTACAATGTCTTTAAAACAAGAACCCAGTTTATCTTCTAAGTACAGAGACTCAGTTGAACGTTTAGCAATTGTTCCCAGCTCACCTGAAGCTCAAACTGAGAACTTTAGCATAAAAAAGGCTTTCTGTAGGTGCAATTGTGCTGAAATTGAGCAAAAATATGGTATTTGGGCTGTGACCCCAAATGATCCAAATGAAAAACGTTTATCGCTTAAGTTAAGAAAAGTGCCTTTCGACAAAACCCCTTCATTTACCAACTGCACTTGTTACTATAGAGCCAGACGCTCTGCTTTGTCCAAAACCACTGTTCCAGATCCATCTGGTTCCAAAACCTCAAGGTCTGATTTTGTGAACGTGACTGAACCAAAATCTTCCACATTTTGTTCTTGTTTCTTTGAAAACAAGCGCTTCACTTTCACAAGGATTGAAATTTTGAAGGGGTCTGATCCATTTCTTGCATGTCGTCGAGTTCCAAAGCCAGGCTTTATCCCACACCGTTGCTGCGAATGTGTGTGCTCCTTTTGTTGCCTTTGCTGTTATTCTGGAACACAGCTTTGGAACCCAGCTTACGAAACCCAGAAATCAAAGTTTCCAGTGATTTCCAATGAAGAGGCATGTTCTATCACATCTGATGTCAGTCAAGGTTTCTCTGAGCAGCAGACAGGTAGCTTCTGTGTAAAACCAAATACTCTCAGTCAGGTTGGTGCTACTGCTAATCAAACATCACCCAATCAGTGTAAGTTACAGTTTAAGGTCCGGGAAGAGTCAACTTTCAGCACGTGCTCAAGCCAGCTAGTAGCACCTTCATCTCTGAAACGGAGAGCAGCCAGTCCACCTGCTGCAGAGAAATTGCCACAAAAAAAGCGCCCAAGTATTTCAAAAAACTGTAATTAAAAAACAGTTTTGGTTGCCTCTGATGTTAGTCAGAGTTTTTCCAGGCAGCCGAAGATGGCAGGTCAACATGGTGCTGTACATCCCCCAACCAAGCCAATGCTGCCACCCATCAGCTCCAAGAGTTCCTCCAAGGAGCAGACATCAAGCCAGCCAGTAGCACCTCCATCTCTGAAACGGAGAGCAGCCAGTCCGCCTGCTGCAGAGAAATTGCCACTAAAAAAGCGGCCAACTAAGTTCAATGAAAACTCCTGTTTCAGTGACTCAAATGTTTGTCAGAATTTCCCCAGCCAGCAGTCAAATAGGCTCCCTGCAAGACCAAACATTCTCAGTCATTTTGGTGCTACACTTTCTCAAACTCAGTCGACTACATCACCCAAAGGGCAGGAATTACAATTTGAGCCCAAACAAAAGTCATCCTTGAGTGGATTCAAGCAACGCGTGAAACCTGTGAAAAGGAGAATACGTAGTCAGCTTGCTGAAGCCTCTCTTGCTGAGCCAATGTCTCCAACAAAGCGCCCAAGGATCTCAAAAAACTGTAACAAAAAATCAGGTTTGGTTGCCTCTGATGTTAGTCAGAGTTTTTCCAGGCAGCCGAAGTCGGCAAGTCAACATGGTGCTGTACATCCCCCAACCAAGCCAATGCTGCCACCCTTCAGCTCCAAGAGTTCCGCCAAGGAGCAGACATCGCAGACACCCTGGAAATGTGTGGGAGAAACCCAGCCTCCCACAGAAAATCGTCCAAAGCAGACACGAGCTTCAAAAAATGTAAACCATTTAAAACGCGATGGGCAGGAAGAGTCCCTCCAACAATCTACTACCTCCAAGAGTTCTTCATTGAATCAAGTGAAGACAACTCAGCCTTCCACATGCAATTTTACAGACCCAAAACTACTAGTGAAAAAATCAAGGTGTGGACAAAACCCTACTTATAAACAATCCCGCAAACAATCTACTGGCTCCAAGAGTTCCTCCAAGGAGCAGACATCGCAGACACCCTGGAAATGTGTGGGAGAAACCCAGCCTCCCACAGAAAATTGTCCAAAGAAAACACGAGCTTCAAAAAATGTAAACCATTTAAAACGCAATAACCAGGAAGAGTCCCTCCAACAATCTACTACCTCCAAGAGTTCTCCATTGAATCAAGTGAAGACAACTCAGCCTTCCACATGCAATTTTACTGACCCAAAACTACCAGTGAAAAAATCAAGGTGTGGACAAAACCCTACTTATAAAAAATCCCGCAAACAATCTACTGGCTCCAAGAGTTCCACAGTGGAGAAGACATCATGCTTGCCTCCACAAACCAAGCGATAAAGATATTGGGCTCTACTTGGACCACAGAGCCAATCCCAATAATAAAGCCACCAGGAGGTTTGCTATTAACCAAGACAAATTATCAAAGTATAAAAAACTCTTTAATGACCGAAAGACAAATCAGTAAAGAAAATGTCCCCTCTGCAAAACTGTAGGTTTCCTGCACCTAGAATGAGAAAACTACTTAAACCAATCCTGTTTTCTTTGTCACCAAGAGGGAAGAGCTGCGCCAAAGGAATACACGGCTATCGTTTACTTTCATGAGGTTGATCTGATCTAAATACCCATTAGTTAAACAGGAGGCCTATTTCACAAAAGCTGAATTTAGAAATATGTCATAAGACCTTGTGTGATCACTGCAAACTGACAAATATTAACTATTTGGTATTAAAAGGAAACTAAGCAGGGCTCCATGGTGTTACAGGTCTACAACTTTACAACTGTTGCTTTGCATCAACAAGGAACAAGGCTCCATTTCCAATTCAGGGTCTTTCTGCGGGTAGTTTGCATGTTCTCCCTGTGCATGCATGGTTTCACTCCTGGCGAGCTGAAGACAAGATTTCACAGGGCTCACATACAAATGTGATTGACAATATCTTCTGACTGACATGAAACATATATGTAAAATTTACTTAATGTAAAATGCACACAACTGATTGCCCTGGGTAATGAGACCCCACACCCTACATGTGACCCTGTATTTTAGAATGTATAGATAGTTTTAGTTTTAGTTTAGTTTTATTGAAAGGATCCCCATTAGCTACAGCTATGCTGCAGCTATTCTTCCTGGGGTCCTGAAAAAATATATACATTAAAAACAAAACTAAGAATACAACCAATATTTGAAAGAAAAAGAAAATACACAAACACATATAAAAATACATATACAATATATACACATATTAACGTACATATGTACCCTCATGCGGGTGTGATATATGACAAATATAAAACACATTCTACACTTACACCTGTAAACATACATACACATACATATTCACACACATATAAATATAAACATTCAGTTATATTATTTTGATAAATGCTGTTTTACATATAATTTGAATTTATTGACATTATTAGCAAGCAGGATATGTTTTGGCAGATTATTCCATTCTTTCATACCTCTGAACACAACAGTATTTTTCATGGCATTTGTTCTTACTATGGGTAAAGTGAAATTACCTTTAGTTGCATGTCTAGTACTGTACTGATGATTTACTACACTGAAAGAAAGATGCTTGAACAAAACAGAAGGAAATTTGGAATTAGAAATATTTCTTATGAAAATTTAACAATGAATACAACAATCTCTCTTGACCAACAACCAATTAAGATCTTTGTGCATTAATGTTATATTTCTCCTGTAGCTGCATCTGAGTGCTACACGAGCAGCTCTATTCTGTATAAGTTGTAATTTATTTATATATTCTCCAGTGGCATTTGACCAAACTGCTGGGCAATAGTCGAGGTATGTCAATATTAGTGCTTTCATTGCATAATTCCTAATGTTTGAAGTTAAGAAATTTGCATGTCTTCTCATAATGGATATACCTCTTCCCATTTTTGCAATAATATTACTAATATGTTTTTTCCATGATAATCTAGAGTCAACTATTACACCCAGCAGTCTGGTCTCATGCACCTGTTCAATAACTGCGTTGTTAATCTTAATATTAATTACAGGATTCTGTTTAATATTGTAATTTGAACCTAAAATCATGCAATTAGTTTTTACAGTATTTAATGCCAGTTTATTTGATTTGACCCAATCTACTACATATTGTAATTCTGTATTTAAAACAGTTTCTAATTCAATTTGTGTACTTGCTGATGTATATATAGTTGAATCGTCAGCGTACATGACAATATTAGCCTTATGTAAAATATATGGTAAATCATTAGTAAAAATATTAAATAATAGTGGACCCAGACAGCTACCTTGGGGTACTCCACATGTAATTTTTCTGATACCTGAGAAACTGCCATTGAAAAACACTGTCTGTGTTCTATTTGACAAGTAACTGTACATCCATGTGATTGCAGATTGCTCAAACCCGTAACAGGATAATTTTGTTAATAGCAGGTTATGATCTATGATGTCGAAAGCAGCAGAAAAATCTAAAAATACAACACCTGTAATTTTTTTCTTTTCAGTCTCTCTAAGCCAATCATCAGACATGTGAGTCAGTGCAGTGGCAGTGGAGTGACTTTTTCTGTATGCATGCTGAAAATCTGTTAATAAATCATTTGTATAAAAATAGTTATTAATTTGATCGTGTACTATAGACTCCAGTATTTTAGATAATACAGGTAATATACTTATCGGGCGACTGTTGGAACCTGAGAAAGGCATTTTTTTATCTTTGGGCAGAGGAACTATTTTAGCCTGCTTCCATGCCTGTGGGCAGGTACAGCAGCTAAAACTAAGGTTAATAATATGGGTTAGAGCAGGGGCAATAAAGTCAGCAGTTAGTTTCAGAAGCCTGCCGTCAAGACCATCTACACCTGGTGGTTTGTTTTTGCAGGTTTTTAAAAGATTCTTTACTTGATCTATATTTACACTTTGTAGTTTAAACCTTAAGTTTTTATTTTTCATCAATTCATTTCTTATTAATAGATAAGATATATCATTACTTAGATTAGGCATATTTTCTCTTAGTTTATCTGATTTTTTAATAAAATAATCATTGAGATGGTTTACAATATCTATTGGCTTAGTTATGAGTTTATCCCCTGTTTCCAAAAAAGATGGATTTATTTTGTTTTTCTTACCAGTCAATTGATTTAAAACATTCCATAACTTCCATAAATGTATGTATTGTAAATTCAATTGATACAAAGTTTTCTATCTAAGCAAAACCAGTTGATTGCATTGACTCTGACTCAAATACAATCCCTCACACTAAGCAAGCTTGTAGCGACAGTGGAGAGGAAATCTCCCTTTTAACAGGAAGAAACCTCCAGCAGAACCAGGCTTAGTGTGAGCGGCCATCTGCTGAAGCCGACTAGGGTTCAAGGAGACAGAAGTAGAGACACAAAAAGCAGCTGCAAAAGGCGGCCCCATCCAGGAAACACACAGCCAGGCAGACGAGCTCCGAGCCAGCTCCCATGCCAGAGGACGAAGAGAGCACATCCAGCCAGTCACGGTCAGAGAAACAGGACCACACTGGAAAACAGGCTAATCTCCAGCATCTATAAACAAGGGTGTTGATGGAAGCAGCACAGCTGATGTTTCTCTCCAGGATGGCGTCACAGCCAAACAAAAACAGATGAGGCAAAGCTACTCTGAGGAAAAGCAGAGAGAGCATTAGAGATTGAAATAACAGATTCTGCAGAATATGAGAATAGAGAGAGAATGAAGCAGAATGATGAAATTGGGGTCCCTATGTCCTCCAAAAGTCTAAGCCTATAGCAGCATAACTATAGAGATAGTGTGGTGCACCCAAATATGTGCAACCACATTTGGAATTATTACTTTGTGGATCAAAAGGGAAAAAAATGTAATTTTTATCCTATATATGTTTAGTATGAAAAGAAACATACGGCAGTAGTCGATTCCAACATTATCTTACATTTAGGAGATGTTTTCCTGGGTGAATATTGGTGGGTAAAGGAGAGAAAAGGGTAGGCGGAACCTTTGACGCTACGGTCGTTCATTCCGGTTGCTAATTAGGGAGGCACCCCGGTGTTCCCCTTATATCTAACCTGGATGAAGACTTGAGTGTTCCTGTGTTCATTGCTCTAAGACTCAACCTTTATTTTACAGGTCAGTACATGGTTAAAACTGCCATACATGAGAGCTTTAAGCTTCGTATTCTTTCTGTAAGTGACAGGTAATAATTTTATGACGATGGGCGTAACTTTGAATTAGTTTTGTGGGTGTTTGTTTGTCCACCGTCGTTGGGTGGCGGGAAAGCCGAGCCGCGTTGCGCCGGAAGTCTCGCGAGACTTAGCATTGTTCTCGCGAGAGTTCGCCCGTTCGTTTGAGATGTATTCTCTTTGATAGTAAAATCAGATAGTTTAGGGTTTTTTTTACAATCTACAGATCGCTCCAAATTATTTGAGAAGGCTCTTGATGGAACTCAAATGTGTTTAAAGAATCCAGAATATTTGTTCAGGTTTGAAAGTGATTACCATGTTGTATGAATGTTGGTTTATTGCATGGAAATATGGTTAGAAGTTGTCATGTTAAAGTGATTAGCATATTTTATAAAGTACATTGTCCACATCTAATTGAGCTTAGTGAGCTTAAAATTATAAATGCTTTATCACATATATGCTCGGGTGCCGTGGTGTAAAGGTGATTTGCATATATTCTAAAGAGCAGTGTTTATACCTGAATAAGTTTATTGAATATAAGATTGTAAAGGGCAAATCCCAAATTTAGCACTGTTCGTTGAAGACCGAAATGATGGTTACAGGCCTTGTTTAGTTAGTCAGTCAACTAAGATTGTAATAAGCAGAAATAACAAATGCTGTAATTGCAGGTGGAGATCCCTGTAAATTGACTTTTTCTAGACTTTATTTGTTATTCAAAACAGGACAAAGAAAATGTACTGATTGTAGATTTTGTGTGTGGAATTGACCTAATATATCTAACCCTGATGAAGACTTGAGTGTTCCTGTGTTCATTGCTCTAAGACTCAACCTTTATTTTACAGGTCAGTACATGGTTAAAACTGCCATACATGAGAGCTTTAAGCTTCGTATTCTTTCTATTCTCTTTGTTACTGTGGTCATCGTGCTTGAGACCCGTAACAATAGCTCAGGATAACCTGAGCCACCCTAACTATAAGCTTTATCAAAAAGGAAAGTTTTAGGCCTAGCCTTAAAAGTAGACAGGGTGTCTGCCTCACGGACTAAAACTGTTAGTTGGTTCCACAAGAGAGGAGCCTGATAACTAAAAGATCTGCCTCACATTCTATTTTTAAAAATTCTAGGAACCACTAGTAAACCTGCAGATTGAGAGCGAAGTGCTCTGTTAGGAACATAAGGAACAATCATATCTCTGATATAAGATGGAGCTTGGCCATTTAAGGCTTTATATGTGAGAAGGAGGATTTTAAATTCTATTCTGGATTTAACAGGAAGCCAATGACGAGAAGCCAGGATAGGCAAGATATGATCTCTCTTTTTAATTTTCATCAGAACTCTGGCTGCAGCATTTTGGATCAGCTGAAGGCTTTTAACTACAGTTTGTGGACTTCCTGATAGTAAAGAATTACAATAGTCCAGCCTTGAAGTAACAAATGCATGGACTAGTTTCTCAGCATCACCCCTGGACAAGAGATTTCTAATTTTTGCAATGTTCCTCAGATGAAAAAAGGGCATTCTAGAAACCTCTTTGATATGGGATTTAAATGACAGGTCCAGATCAAAACCAACACCAACATTTTTTACTTTATTACCTGAAATCAGTTTAATTCCGTCCAAATGAAGTGACTGACTTATTGGCTTCTTTTTCAAAGACTCTGGTCCGAAGACTATAACTTCTGTTTTGTTTCCATTCAGAAGACGAAAGTTAAGAGTCATCCAGGTTTTTATGTCTTCAAGACATGCCTGTAATTTATGTTATGGGTTAGCTTAATCTGGATTTATAGACAGATATAGCTGGGTATCATCAGCATAACAGTGAAAATTAATCCCATGCTGTCTAATAATTCTACCGATTGGGAACTTTTGAGCATGTTGAAGATTTGTCATTAACATGAATAAACTGAATTCGATCAGATAGATAAGATTCAAACCAGTCAAGAGCTGCTCCTTTAATTCCAACAAAATATTCAAGTCTTTCTAAAAGAATATTATGGTCAACTGTATCAAATGCAGCACCGAGATCCAACAGAACAAGCACAGATAAAAGTACATTATCTGAGGCCTTGAGAATATCATTAGTGACTTTCACCAGAGCTGTTTCAGTGCTATGATGAGCTCTAAAGCCAGACTGAAACTCTTCAAAAAGTTCATTATGGTGTAAGTGATCGCAAACTTGTTTGGCAACTACTTTCTCAAGAATTTTAGATTTAAGGAAGATTTAATATAGGTCTATAATTGACCAAGTCATCTGGGTCAAGCGACGGTTTCTTAGGCAGAGGTTTAATTACAGCAACCTTAAATGCCTTAGGTACATATCCCTGTAACAGAGATAGATTATTCACATCTAAAATGGAGGAGGAGATCAAAGGGAATACCTCCTTAAATAACCTGGTTGGAACTGGATCTAACATACAAGTTGAAGGCTTAGATGAAGACAATAATTTTGCTAACTCAGAAAGTTCAACTGGATCAAAGCAGTCTAAACCTGGTTCAGATTCCATGACTACCTCAGATACAATCGCGGATAGAGGAGTGCTTATGATCTTATTTTTAATAAGATCAATCCTATTTATAAAGAATCCCATAAAATCATTGCTGCTAAGAGCAGGTGGAATGGATGGTTCAACAGAGCTATGGCTCTGGGTGAGTTTGGCAACTGTATTAAAAAGAAATCTAGGATTATTCTTATTCTCCTCTATTAATGAGGAAAAGTATGCTACTCTTGCTTTACAAAGGGTCCTCTTATACAGCAGTTAACTATTTTTCCAGACTAGGAAGGACTCCCGCAGGCCTGTTGAGCGATATTTTCTCTCCAGTTTCCTGGCATTTTGCTTCAAAGTGCGCAGCTCTGCATTAAACCAAGAAGCAAGCCTTCTATTTGTAACGGTTTTCATTTTCAAAGGAGCTGCGTTGTCCAACACTGCATGAAAAGTGTGATTTTCGTCACTATGCGGCACTGTAGATTGTCGTGGAAGTTCAGGTTAACGGCTGTTCACGGTAATTTGCAGGCAACACCGAAAATTCCCATAAATTGTCAGAAATTGACGTGGGCTTTCTTAGGCAGTGTTCCCTCAATGGAATTCAAGGGGAGACATGTACCGTATTTTCAAGACTATAAGGCGCACTTAAACGTCTTTTTTTTCCCTCAAAATGTGCGGTGCGCCCTATGGTGCGGTGCGCCCTATGTGTGTTGTAACTGCGACTTTTGAGACCACCTCATTGAGGAGATGATGAAAGAGTGGCTGAATGTAAGGAGACCAGGTGTTTTTTTTCCACTCATCACCATTAATCTGTGACTCCATGCGTGCCCATCTCACAGCTGATGTGAAAAACATGGGGAAACAAATTAACGCTGTGCTCGCTGTTCAACCGCTCGACATCGGTGTGAACCGGACCCAGCAGGTGCAGCAGAAGCAGCGAGTTTACATGCAAAGTCAATGGTTGACGCGCGTATAGGCGCAGCGAAAGGTCCTGCAGCGCGTTTTGGTGCAGCACGTCGGGAGCGTTTAAGCATCTGATGCACCGCCAACGCGCTGCTGCTGCTCAGATGGAAAAATTGAAGTTTTGCTGCTGGACGCGCCGCATCAACCAATCAGAGAAGCTGATCTGGGAGCTGACAGCGAGACAGACACAGCGCTCTGATGACATATGATATTAACGCAAATGAAAAGGCTGGGTGGATGCGTGGCTGAGACAGGTGTATGTGAGAAGACTAGGTGGTTTTTTCCACGCATCACCATCGCTGCGTGCCCATCTCACAGCCGATGTGAAAAAAAGATGAATCAAATGAACGCTGTGCTCGCCGTTATCCCGTCTAACAAAGGAACTTCCACCGCTCGACATCGGTGTGAAGCGGCCGTTCACAGTAAGGCTGCGAGCGGCGTGGGAGCGATGGATGACAGACGGAGACCACAGTTTCAGGATAAATGGAAGGCAGCGCCGGGCAAGTTACGCCACCGTTTGCGGATGGATTGTAGATGGACTGTGTCTGCTGGCTCTGTTGTTCAAGCTTTCGCAAAAGCCGGCATTATTTCTGAGAAGCTGCGCTGCACGGAAAGTGACTCTGAGAGCGAAGAAGGGGAAACTGGCATGTCTGATTTAGCGCAGCTGTTTTATTCAGAGGAATGCTGAGGATAACAGAGGATGATGACTTTGATGGGTTTGATTAATACTTTGTAATAAATACATGAATAAAGCACAATCATACTCAGGTTTGCTCCCGCTCTATTTTTCTACCTGAAAACTTAATTCAACAGCAGCCTCTGAGCGCGTCTCCTCCTCTTCACCGCGGTGGCTGGCAGGTGTTTTTTCATCTAAATAATCTAAATCTTGCAGCTATATTTGCTGTGATCAGTGGGAATAAATAAGTATAAATATGTTTTTAAGTGAGAAAGGCCACCTGAAAACTTAATAATTGCAGTCAGTTCATCCAGATTATCTATTTCTGTCGGAGGCGCTCAGACCCCCACATACCAGCGGTGCACCGACAGGAGAAATCCTTTCGTTCACCGCGGCTGCTGGTAGGTGTTTTTCATCTAAATAATTTTAGCTGCAGGCACCAGGATACCGGTAATAAAAGCGAACATATTCCGTCGGCAGGTTTCAGGATTTTAAGTTAATTTAGGAGTGATCACAGCGCTGTGTCATCTGCGATGTGTCTGTCTCACGGCCAGCTGCCAGGTTTGATTAATACTTTGTAATAAATACATGAATAAAGCACAGTCATACTCAGTTTTGCCCCCGCTGTATTTTTAAATACGCAGTAGAGGTATTTAAAGGTAGCAGAGGACATGCACCTGTATATAAAAAACGCGCCCTATAGTCCGGTGCGCCTTATGTGTGTGTTAAATACAGAAATGGGACACATAACTGAGAGTGCGCCTTTTAGTCCGGTGCGCCTTATGGTCGTGAAAATACGGTAAATGAAAATGTTGTGAGCTATACAAATGCAAATCAGGGTTGCAGGGGGAGTTTTTACCCCAAGTGACATTTTTCTAAAAGGTAAGGAAATCTCTGGTACAAATAGATCAGGCTCAGTATAGCCTAATTATAGACTCTTACATTTTAGCTTGAATTGATTTATTTAATTAAAGTATGCTAGATTACTGTGCATGCCATTAGCAATGGCAAATGTTATGTAAAAAAATACACAAAATAATTTATTTCAAAAATTAGTTTTAATCAGAATCAGTTGGTAAAATGTGAATCAGAATCAGCAAGGTAAAATGTACATTCCATGCAAACAACATTAGAATCAGAATGAGGGGTCTGCAGAGATCACAGTCTCCTAGAGCTCAACTACTGTGCATAGTGGCATGACTACAGTGACCTTTTCTTTGGTCTTACTTAAATGCACAGAGGATGCAGGCGCGGATTCAGGCGGGGGAGCGGGGGGCGCACGCACCCCCCTTTTGGGATATGGCAAGCCGATTGGGCCAATAATCGTCCGTACAATAACGCCCAGTTCCAACCCGCGCGTCGACTTAAAAAACGTGCGCTCGAGTAAAATACAAGCTGGGACTGCGCGTTATTGTACGGACGATTATTGGCCCATTCGGCTTGCCGTACCACAATGGCGTCGTTGCGAGTACGAGGAGACCTGAAGATTTAAGGCCAAACAAGAAAACCAGACAACCATCTCTTTTAAGATTCTGGTCCAATCCAACAAAAGGGTAAGTAGAAACCAACTTTATCACTTTATTTTCTATAGGCTTATGTCTATAATCAAAATAACACAGATTGAAATGTTTATATCTTGTTTTCTATTCTTCAGTGGACCTGGCACAACTACAGAAAATGACCACAGCGTTGACCTGTATGAACGTTCAGATATTGGGGACACACAGTTAAAAGGTATGATGATTGCTAGAAAATGTTGATAATGAGAAAACATTATCAACATTGTTGATAAACAAGTTGTTTAAAGTTGCAAAGTAATGCAATTGTAGGAATACTTAACCAGTAACGGGAAAGTTATGAAAATTGCAGTGTTTGATAAGTAATAAAAAGAGTGTACAATTAACAAAAATAAGCAACCTTAGTTGCCATTGACATGCATACAATATTTTGTAGTGTGTATTTTTGGGTCTAAACCTGTACCACATGTGGTGTACTGTTAAAAATAAGAATGGTATCCTTTATGAATACATTACTAACTTTTATCAATTGGTAAGGATCCAAATCAATGAATGCTCTAAGCACATGCTTGGAGTCTAAGGGAGTCTTGTTAACATTGTGATATGATAACTACAAATCTGGTGTTTTTTGTTTTCAGTGCTTTTAATATTTTACAATAAAAATACAAATTACTTTTAAGTATATTCAGTTGTGTGTACCTGGTGATATGTGTTCAGTGAATTTAATAATTTACAATAAAAACACAACATTAAATTGTTTTGTGGCTCCTCCTGAGATTACAAGGTTCACCTAATCACAAAAATGATTTTCTTTTCCAGATGAACAACAAGGCCCGTGTTTCGATGTAAAGACAACTGAAGAGCCGGCGCTCAACCAAGCAGATTTGCCCCAAACAACTTACGACATAGGTTAGTAATAGTTGTATTTTTTTCAATGTCAAAACAACTAATTTTGTTTTTGTTTTACACAATTGACTTTTTTGCTTAATCTTGAAATCTTACTTTTCATAATAATTATTTCATAATAAAGCAAGACTATACAAAAGCTTCATGTAGGCAGATTTACAACTCCACCAGCACTCATACAAAATTGACAATGTAAATATCAATCTTATTACAGATATATCAAAGGCCAATGACCGGATTAGTGAAATGGACGACTCTGGAAAATTCCAGCTTCTTCAGACCAGAAAACCACTCAAATCTTTCAATTTCCCTGCCAGAGAATTTAAAGACAACCGAAGAGCCAGTGGGGTGACCAAAAGAACATGCCAGAGGGACTGGCTGGACAAGTATGACTTTTTATCATTTTTACATCATATAAAGATGATCTACCGTCACGATCAACATTCAGGCAGGAAGTGAAGTTGTGGCACACAAAGTGGTCATCATCCATGGAAAAACCCAGCTCTCTCCCTGAAATTCTAAAGATAACAAATATGAAGTGCTACCCAAACATTTATATGATTCTTCACCTTTTGTCAGTCATACCTGTTACCAGTGCTTCTGTGGAACCTGCTAACTCTGGTCTTAAAGCAGTGAGAACTTTGCTGAGGTCAACAATGGGACACGAGAGGTTTGTGGCTTTGCTACTTTTGTATGTGCACAAGGACATTCAGCTAGACATCAACAAAATCATAGACATATTTGCCCAGAAGGTTGACATTTGTAAACCCATTATCATCATCATTAAGTTTGTAGTAAAGAACAATATTCTTTGTGTGGTTTAACTTTGTTTTTTTTTTGTTTTTCAACAGTTTATCTTGTTAAAATATATTCAAAACTCCTTTGTCTTACTGGAAACATACTTGAACCCAAGTTTTTTTATTTCATGTTCTGTTTAAATATCATTTCTTGAAATAAAGAAACTCCTTGTTTGATTAATTGTTGATAAGGATAATTTTTTTCTTCAAACTACCTTTTAACCTTATGCATGCTTTAAAAAAGGAGATATCCTTTTTTAATTACAATAATGTAATCATGCTAATTCTACTTATGTTCATCCATTAAAATTATCAATTAAAAACCCTTGGATGAATAATTAGGGTAGTGTGAAAGAGTGAAGATGGTATTCTTTGGTCTTTTAGCCTCACATTGTCTTGACCTGTGACCCCGTGATCCTATGACCCTTAGGTGCTGTTACGTCCACATCAGACACAACATATTTAAGGACACGAGACAAAAGAAGATGAGGGTTCAATCAGTTTTATTTTTAACTTCTCCACTTTTCTGATCTTTCCTAAAAGGGAAAAAGAAAAAAGATGGTCAGTTGGTCCTCAAATCCTGTGTCCCATAAAAAAAAGAAATCAAAAAAAAAAAAAAAAAAGAGAAACAAAACCTTCCAAAAAGTATTAACAGAAAGATGGACCTAGTGAGCCGGCAAAAAAGAAAAAAACGGCACAGCCGAGGGCCAACCCTATACAGGGCCGTCGAAGCCTCAGCTGAAGCCGGACTAAGCAAAAAAGGGAAAAAGGGAAAAACCTATATTAAAGAAAAGATCGAAAACAGGACCACCGGTCCCACCAGGCCAAAATCAAGAAACCACAAAAAAATACAAAAATTACCACATGGCAGCCTCGAGTCTCAGTTTCAGCCCGCTACCACGGGTCGAACTCAGGAGCGAGAAGAAAAACGGCGTCTCAGCAGGGCGGAGTGGGGCGGCCTGGGGCATTCTCACATTCTGAACGCCGGCCTATTTATAGGCGGGCCACAGTGCCGCAAATTAAGGTAATTAAATAAACAAAAGAAATAATAATGTGCCCGGAGCACATAACAGGTGCGCACCCCCCTTTGAAAAATCCTGGATCTGCCCCTGGGATGTATTAACCACACATCTTCTAGCAATGCGCTCAACTGGCAGAAATGATGCTGGGTATGACGTGTCTGTTCCCTGCAAGCCCCAAACTTCTATTGGCTTTCCATAAAAATGTCTGTCCGGATGGGGATGAAGCCATGTTTACATGATAGACGCGACGATACACGACTCTTCCCAGACTGCCATTCATAACATCCCTATTAAATCTGCCGTGAAATGCCGTGGTGTTCACATCACCAAAGACAATAAATCACTGGAAAAACTAAACTGTTGGAATATTTTAGATAAATGTAAACTTAACTTAAATTTGTGGTCTCAACGTGACATATCAATTTTTGGTCAAACGATCCTTACAAAAATGGAATGTCTCTCAAGATTTATCTATCCAGCTTATTCCATATCCCTTCCTAAACATGCAAATAAAGCTATAAATCAAATTTACTTCAACTTTATCTGGAAAAACAAGACACACTACATTAGGAAAGGAGCAATGGTTAAAGAGTATAATGATGGAGGTCTTAAAGCAATAGACTTTGCATGTTTAGATGGAATGATTAAAATGAATTGGCTCAAATCTTTTCTGAAAAATGAAAATAGTTTTTGGTTTCATATCCCCTCCAAATTATTTATAGAATTAGGAGGAATTAACTTCCTCCTTAAATGTGACTTTGATCCGAAGAAACTTCCTGTTAAAGGAATAGTATACCCAAAACATGATTAGCCTTCATTTTCTACTCACCCCCATGCTGAACAACACTCTGGAGTACTTTTTTGATATCTCAAATGCATCTGGAGATCTGGGAGGCTTCTTGCTGTCTGCTGACATTCAAATAATGGAGGTCTATGGTGCCCGAGGCAGAAAGGTCCATAAAAGTCCACAAAAAACGTGTCAATATTCCTCCATACTGCTCGTCCAATGTATTCCAAGTGTCCTGAGTGGGTAGCATCCAGAATTTACTCGAAACGAAGTCATTTAGAATGTTTTTAGAGCATAAACAGTAGTGTATAGGATTTCCTGAAAGCGCGCGCCGGCACGTTCATGACGCTACGGAAACCGAGGCAGACCAAGCCAGATGAAAGTGCGCATATATATATATATATATATATATATATATATATATATATATATATATATATATATATATGCCAACCAATCACGAGCGATTGTACTTGTTTAAAAAGAAGTGGTTCCATCCAATACTCAGTAAGAACATTCAAGCCTGGCCTGGCCACATTTGGTTTTGCTGCCAATCACGAGCGATTTTACTTGTTTGAAAATAGTGGTTTCAGCCAATACTGAGTAGGTTATTCAAGCCAGACCTGGCCAGCCGCGCGGGTTCGCTGCATTCATATGCTAATTAGGGCCATTAGTACAGCTGATCGCTCTCCACATATGTCAGAGTCTGTTTCCGACAATTTGTGGCACTGACAAACGGCGACAAGTGCGGGTTGCAAATTGTTGTTAACTGCCGAAAATGGGGGAGATCTGCGGTAGTTTACGGGGACGAAAATCTCACTTTTCATGCAGTGAACACTTTAAATAACACTCCATAAGTGCTCTTTTTTTATTTTTTATTTATTGATTGGAAAACCTGACAACATCTACAGAAAGAAGTATTTTACATTTCATATGTTTGTAAATTAGGACACATCATTGGCTCCAGACATCAAGATAATATTCTCAAGATAATACGGGGTTTTTAGATCACAGACAATCCAATGTACACTACTATAGCTTGCTGTTAAGAATGATCTACTCCTTGTTTGGAACATAATGAAGATGGTTTCCTTTTTTTCCTGGTAGAAGAACTTTACTAATTAGATAAACTGCTTGGGAAAACCTTAGCTTTAACATGTAGCAGGCAGGTAATACTGGGTTTACAAGTGCATACATGAATCATAAAAAAAATCCTAAGATTTTGGTAAAAAAAAAAAAAAATGTTGTTTTTTTTCTACATTAGCACATAGTTGTAAGTTATGTATTTTTTACCTCTTACAAACGGTTCTTATTATTATATCAAATTACCTTTGTCAAATAAACATTATTTCAAAACTAAAAACGAATGAAAGATCCAGTTTTCGTCACTTATCATAGACTACCTTTTAGTACAGTGCCAGCATGTTCCTCACAGCACGGTTTAGCCTTTTCCCATTGACTCAACCCATCTTTGAGATGATCCGCCTGCCCTTTCTAATTGCTGTCTCCAGGGAAACTAAAGCAGTTACCTTTGCACCTGTTATGAACTAAAAAGAGAGAGGAGATGATTCACCTGAAGCCAGACTGCAATCACCTCTATTCATATATTAATAACCTCCAATGCTGCCAAGCCTGCAGCATTTAATTGAAAAGCTGCTCTGGAGTGTTCTCTTTATACTTGCTAAGCAATCATGTGAAAGAGTTTCTTAATTTTCATGAATTAGAAGCAAGATGTGGTAGTTTGGTACTATATACACACCTGGAAAAACAGATTAACAGATGGTTTCATCTAGGAAAGCTCATGCATGTGGATAAATAAATAGAGAGATGACAAAGGTTGCTATAGAGGATGTGGAAAAGTAAAGGATCTACAGTCCAGCAGTCAAAGAGATGGTGGTCCCTAAAAAAGACAGCATCATCCAACTGGGGGGGGGGTCAAGGCACCAGGGAATATAGGTGCTCTCCCTTTAAAAGTGACAGATACAAAGTGAGATGCAAGCTCAGGAACATTACTACTGCAACCTGAGTAAAAAGAGGAAACTATATTCTTGTGCCAGAATAAACTCCCACCTCTAGTAAGTCCAATGACAGATACTGGTATTGAATTAAATTTTCTATTACAGTGGCACTCATTGATTTTGATGCATTAAGCTGCAAGAGTAAGTTGAAACAAATTAATATAGAGGAGAACAACAACGTAGAAAAATAATCTGAGTAACTCTTTCTAAGCTAATCTGTAATCAATCCTCATAAAGGTTAGCAAGGGTATCAAATATCCAAAGCTGGATAATCAGTAACATAATAAAAGTAGTTAACAAAGCAGTGAAAGGAGTTTTGCACCCCTTTATTTGCTACTATGCCTCTGCACCTTACAAAGCAATTCCCATCGTCTTTTGAGGCAGGTTGTAGTTCACTTTTAAGCCACAAACGTTGCAGATGAAAAGCTAATCAAGAGAATAAAACAAATATTTTCCATATTTCTAATAGATCTCCCCTGGAAAGGTTCTACTTAAAATTTGATAGGCACATACACTCACCGGCCACTTTATTAGGTACCCCATGCTAGTAACGGGTTGGACCCCCTTTTGCCTTCAGAACTGCCTCAATTCTTCGTGGCATAGATTCAACAAGGTGCTGGAAGCATTCCTCAGGGTGTTTGGTCCATATTGACATGATGGCATCACACAGTTGCTGCAGATTTGTCGGCTGCACATCCATGATGCGAATCTCCCGTTCCACCACATCCCAAAGATGCTTTATTGGATTGAGATCTGGTGACTGTGGAGGCCATTTGAGTACAGTGAACTCATTGTCATGTTCAAGAAACCAGTCTGAGATGATTCCAGCTTTATGACATGG